CTTACCCTCGTAGACTGCTTTTAATAAACCTTCCAACCTTAATTAGTCGTAGAAAAATGCTTCGTGTGACTTTTATGCACAACCTGATTAAGGGTGACGTAGATAGCCCTGACTTGTTGAGCCGCATAAACTTTACACTTTATTCCTTTGTTCCTTCCGCTTTGTAGATCGAATTACTCCTTGCACGAACCATTTAGGGTCCTATGATCGGACTTCATTCCCTTGATATGTTGGACGTTGCAACGTTCAGACAACACATTGAATACAATTTATTTGTCAACTGCAGCAAACTTTTTGGTAGCGACCTTTTCGTTGTACCCAACAGAAAAAATAATTCTTCTTGGGATAGACATTTCCTAAAAATGCAATTATGTTTGTAATAGGCAGCCATAGGCAGATTATATTGGACATTCCGCATTAACACTAGCTTTAAAAACGTATATTAACGTATTATTATTATATTGAAACTTAAGCGGATTCCTGCAAAAAGTTACACGGTCATTAAGACAGACGGACGGATGAGCAGACAGACATGGCTATATGGACTCGGCTATAGATGCGGATCAAGAAAATATATACTTTATGGGTTCGGAAACGTGTTCTTCTCTGCGTTGCACCCATCAACTTTTACCACAAATACAATATACCCCTTAACTCTTCGAGTACGGATATAAAATGTCAAAACAAGCATTGATTGGCGGGCCGGCACTTTCCAAACGATAATTTGTGATTTTCGGAGGGTTGGTCAACCAAACATAGCTCAGCCGTTTCTCCATAGTTTTTATGAACCAATACCTTAACCCACGTCTTAAGGACCGGTAAAGTGTGATTTTCGTAGCGTGTTTCAACCAATATTAGATCAAACATATCTCAATAGACTTTATTTAGCAATACTTAAACGACGCCAAATTAAGACACCTATACACAAAAATATAAAGGACTAGTAATATATTTTTTTACTTTCCCTGAGTTTTTAAAGTCAAAATATCGCAAAAATTACCGCACAAAAATCACAATTTTTTGCATTTGAAAGCTTACTATTTCCCAAACGGTAAAAATCATAATTTTTGCAATTGAAAGCTTAATATTTCACAAACGGTAAGCTAAAATCACAGTGTTTGGGTCTAATTTAAAGCTGCATCAATAAACTTTTTAGAATGGCAAAGTCTTAAGATATTTAAATTATTTGATAAAAATGGTACCTAAAAAAACCATAATTTTTTAAACAAATTTAAAAAAAAGGCTTGATATTTTAATATTTTCACTTAGATTTTAATATTTATGCCATTGATTTTCATCCAAGAGTGGTTGTATTAAAATTGAATATTTTTCACTTAAACTTTGATATTAAAATGAAAATATTTAAATTTAATATATTTTATATTTAAGTTGAATACATTTCATATTTAAATTTAATATATTTCATATTTAAATTTAATATGTTTCATATTTAAATTTAATATATTTAATATTTAAATCTAGTATGTTTCATATTTAATTTAAAAATATTTTATGCCTAAATTTAATATGTTTCATATATATATTGAGTATATTTCATTTTTAAACTAATCGATTATTATTTTGCCTACGCGGACTACATTTGAAGTCCTCATGGTGTGAAATTCACCAAGTTAAAGTTTGCAACTAGAAATAATCGTAACATGAGTAGAACTGCATTTTTTGTGATTATGGCCCTGCGCAAAGATATTTTAAACTGTGTATTCAAGGCTGCAGCAGCGTGAACCAGTTGGGAATTCGAGGGACATAAAAAAAGAATATAAACAAATTTAAAATAAATACAAAAAATATTTAATTTAATTTAATATGGAATATTTAAAATAAATAATTTTGAAATCAAATCATAATAATATTAAATTTAAATATGAAACATATTAAACTACAAATTTAATATATTATATTTATTTTAAAGTGTTTTGTATTAAGATTAAATATGACCGTATTAAAAAAGCCATTTTAATACAATTATATTTTAATCAAAGTGAATTCTATTTAATTTTACTATGTTTGTATTTAAAAATCGCATTTTAAATTCAAATATGATTGTAGTTATTTTTAGTATGCCTTTTTTCTATCAGTGTAATCTATCAGAATAAGTTTGTTTGATTCGAAGCGGAAAAAAAAATTCAGTTGTGTCGAGTAGTGTAATTTTTTTAAGGATTGAGTGTTTCTGAAATCATTAATTAATTCTAACGTTTATTAACCTGAACCTGAGCTTTGGCTTTGACTTTGTGCAGGCAATTATTACTGCTTTAACCCATTCTGCTTTGGATCATCACTCTTATGTGCTCACTGCTCTTGCGCATCATCCGTTGCATTTTCTTTGGAAAGCTCTAAATTGCATGCTGCACTCGCTTTTGCTTTCTGGACTGCGGCTGCATTCTTGTTGAACTATTCTATCGGTGTCTCTGCTTTCGTGAGTTCACTGTTTGCTTCCTCCTCTTCGCTGGCTCATTTTGGTCATTTTCGTCAGCCAACCGATCTCATCTTTAAACGTATAGGTCTGTCTTGGTCATGTTTGGCTTGCGGTATACAGCAGGCAAAGCGGAACAGTGTATTGGTGCCAACCATTGTAATACACGTATACGCGAGCGGCAGCGCAGCAACACAGCCTTTTCCTAAGCACAATAGATGGGCCGTTCCGACCCCTGAGTCAAACTCTTGAGCGAATCGCCGAGACGGAGATCTCCGCACAAAAATAACAACAACCTCTAGCAGCCCTAAATGCTTGGAATGCCTGCTTCTCACATACAAGAATTCGCATCATTCGATACTTTGAGTGGTCATGTCTCACCGATGGCAGTCAATCCACAATCAGACGCTCCGGTCTTCTTCACATTTAATAAAAATGAATTTTTGTTGAACATCCGGTTGCGCTCCCTGTCGACGGTACTGATGTGAGTGCCTTCAGTGTGGGTGTTTGTTACTGGTGATGACCCTACTGTTCCTGTTCCTGTTCCATCCGACACTGCTGATGCTTCTGCTCACGTACAGCGATATATTTTGCGCGTGGCTCCAACATCTCGATCTCGTTTTTTGGGACTACAACTTAGAGCAGTGGTTTCTCAAAAAGCTATCTTTGTCTCCCGCCTTTTACCTTAAGCTAAACTGGATGATGTTAAACAACATCTATGCGTCAGACTTAAAGAATCGCTTCATGACTTAACTTTGACCAAATTTACATTTACAATATCTCCTCTTTTAAAACTCTCCTCCCTGATTCTTTCCTATCACTTGTAAAGTCCGAATGGCCTGAGGATACATTTAGGAACAAGTTCCTAAACGAAGATTCTAACCAGAGTCCCAAAATTACCAGCCCTATTACTTAAAAAAACAAGAGCTGGAATCTTCTCTAAGGAACTAGCAACCAACATATCCCCAAGACTACCAGAATGGTGCAGTGTATTCCAGGCGGAGATATATGCAGTATGGCAAGCGGCAAAGTTGGTATACAACTTGGAGATACCTCCGAGAAACATAGCAATCTGCGTTGACAGTCAATCTGCCATCAAAGCCCTGGTATGCTGTAAGACCACAAACAGACTCGTACATGATACGGTGGACGCACTAAACCAGATCAGCGCGCACGAATGTGCCAGAACTGGATCGGCCAAGCCAATGGCGGACGCAGTCAGTTACATACGGAGGCTACTACGAGACATCATCTCGCAGATGATGGGCCGAGCAAGAACATGATCGGACAGGAGGTGGAACACCACACCCAACTGTGAGATCTCTCGCTCGCTTTTGTCCCACTATGACCCTAAACTCTCCTAAGCTTCAAGATCAGTCGGAAGCGAACACTGAAGGGAGCTATAACGGGCCACTGTGTCATCGGCCGCAAGGTCATAAGGTACAGACTGCCCCACCATGACTTCTGCCGCAGCAGCAGGGACGAGGAGGAAATAGAGAGCATCCACCACCTTCTCTGCAACTGTCCTGCACTCATGGGGAGGCGTCACCGAATACTCGGCGGCGCCTTCTACGAAGACCTGGACAGCCTGGCAAACATCCCTCAAGAGAAACTGGTGCTCTTTATAGAGGCCTCGGGATGGTTCGTTGCCTCCCTAGGCAACGGACAAGATACCGTGACGAGTGTGGGCATCACAATGGGCAGACTTGCCTCCGAGTGACCTCGACTTCGGTCGAGCAGCCTTATAAACCTAACCTAACCTACCCCTCCCCACTCAGAGCAGCTCGCTCACACTCTGCCCTGTGCAGTGCATTACCTGTCACAGAGAAGAATTATAATATATATTGTAGATGTATATGACAGATGTAGCAAAAAAAATGTAATATATAAAATATATTGAAATTCGATATATATCATAAGCTCACATATTTGTATACTGACTGAGTACGGGTATAAAAGTAGAATCGCGTCCTCAAAAGCGACTCACAACGTTCCTTCTCGTTCTATTTGACTTGCTCTTACATTCCAAGTCTGATGCTGAGATTTACTTGCACCACCTTTCTACATACTGTTGTATGTATCTGCTTTAGGTTGCGCTGTTCATATTAATGTTATGGGAGATTTTAACTTACCACTTCTTGCTTGTCTGCATTTTGATGAATCAAACCTGTTGAAACAAAATTGGCACAATGATTTTATCGATGGGCTAACTAATGTCTCAAATATCAAAAATAAAATATCAAAGCAAGCACTTGAATTACTTGTTCTCAGATGTTTTTGTAGTGAATTAAGTAAAGTAATACATGAATGATTAATGCTGATTGATCGTGTGATCTTATTTATTGAATCTAAACCAACTTCATTGGAGCAATTGCGACTGTTCATGCAAATATTTATATTAATATCGGAATTTATGATTGGCCACTGCAGGAGTACCACTAATTTAGTATATATGTGCTAATCGTTTCTGCCTTGAATTGAAACGATTAATATTTTGCAGCCCTCATTTTAATACTAGTCTTGCATTTTGAAAAGTATTTTTAATTCGCTTTAGTGTATTTCTGTGAGTATCCCTGTAGAAGGAATTTCAGATAATTAAAATCTTAAAATATCATTGCCATCATTAGAGTAGACTGCAATTTGGAAATCTCTTTTCAATATGGACAGTTCAGGATATAATCGTTATGAACTATTGTCTTCGTATGATGAGGATGTCTCGTCAGATCTCTCAATAAAAACTAATGCCGGCATTAGCAATAAGAAACAGAAAGTTTTAAAAAAACTAGATACAACTAATCAGGAAAAGGAAAATAATCCAATGACTGGAAAAAATAATACTCTTGCCAAAAGAGAAAAAATCGTTAAAGGAATCGTAGGAAATCTTACAGCAAATGAAAATAAAGGACCAAGTTTTGCTAAGAACTCTGTGGACATTCGTTCGAATGAAAGAAATCGTATTGTTGGAGCAGAGTTTGGCAATGATTTTCCCCAACGTCAATTCAAGGATCGTGACAATAGGGGTCCACAACGTTTCCGTACCGGAGAAAAATATGGAAAGCGTGAATTTGATCGTCAGTCGGGATCCGATAAAACCGGTAAACACAAAAATCTTTAAAATTTATGTTAATAAATTTAGTTTATTTGCATGAAATGATTTGAAAAAAATAGTATTTTAGAAAATGTATTTATTAATACAAAAAATAGTAAAAGAATGAAATGTTCTCATTAAGAGCGGTTTCCTCTAAATGTCTGTTGTTCAAAGCCTAGTCAGACAAATATTCTGATAGAAAAATAATAAAAATCATTGCTATGATTTTTCTGACCAGCATCCCAAATTTCATCTGCGAAAGTTGCCTCTTGTATTCATAGATTAATAAAAATATTTTTTTGGTTCTTTAAATATCAATGAATCCACTTTGTCCCTCTGAAGTTGAGTACATATTTCTTGGAAGCTGAAAAGGTTTAAGTAAAGAAAGCAACCGTTGCGACGAGAATTATATCCTGACTGTTGCAAGGGCAGACAGCCCTAATTTCCCAATTGGATTTGAGTTTTGAGGTATTATGAAAATAAATCATATGATAAATAGATACACATATTAACATTAATAGTTATGCAAAAAATGTAATTGAGATTATATAAGTACATATGTATGTTACCTTATTTAACGTTAAAGAAAGTTTTAGATAGTTTTTTTTTATTATGACTGACATGGCATAGAATAAAATTGATTCTGCAAACGCTTCAAATCATACTTTTATAACTTCTTCTCAAAACTGATTACTTGACTGTGTGCGTGCCGACCACTGCTCTAGAGTCTAGACCCACCCGCACTTGCCTACCTTTCCGCTTACATTTCTGTGCGCCTAAATACGCTTAACATTATCCATTTGATGTCCTGCGTTATATTTACAATACCCTCTACCATACCTTACCCTAAAATATCCCTGCACTCAGCCCATCCTGCATAACGGTATTCATTACGAATCCTTCATTCAGTCAGATAGGGATCAGACCGGATCACTAAAAGCCGAGGGCAAGCACTGCGGATTATAATCAGCAAGTCTCGTTTACAGGTCTCTAAAATTACTCAAAACATACTCCGGAGTATATATAAGTGGTATAAATATGTATATTTATAATCACACTTCAAATTTTACTGCACTCAAACAACCCAAAACAAAAACAAACTGCGAATTCCCTATACATTCATAAGTATGTGTGTATGTAAGTCGTATCTTGAATCTTGATTCAAGAACACAAAAATGTTTTATCAAGTATCGCAAAACAATTTGGGAAAAAAGTACCCATAGAAAAAAGTTGCAAAACTGGATACGTAAAAATTTTTTTACAATATTAATAGCAAAAATTTGTGGAAACCGGAGCATATCAATTAAACCAACCCATTTTGGGTTCTTAATTAACACATTTTTCGCATGCTAACAACGCTATTGAAAAATCTTAGTAGCCAAAAAATTATCTATATTTTGAACTGTTAACCTGCAACCCAAAGAGGATCATCTAGGAGGCAATGTGAGCTCATAGCAATGGTTATGGAAAATTAAGGAAAGATGGGGTGGAGTTTTTGTAACACTTTAATTGTCATTTTAGTTATAGGTATATGCAACAAACAGAACGAAACATTTCGTTCGAACCTTGGGATTGAGAATTCGAAAATATAGAGATTTGTGTATAGGCTCTAGAGGTTTTGCTTAGAATGGAATTTATATGCAGCTCCAAATAACTCTGAACGGAGACTGCCTATGACATGAATCCTCGGCGTAATTTTCGAATTTTTATCACCCGTACACAAAAAAGAGTAAAGGGGTATATTGTATTTGTGGTAAAAGTGGATGTGTGCAACGCAGAGAAGGAAACGTTTCCGACCCCATAAAGTATATTCTTGATCAGCATTGCTAGCCGAGTCGATATAGCCATGTCCGTCTGTCCGTCTTGATGAGCGCCCAGATCTCAGAGACCATAAGAGCTAGAGCAATCAAATTTTGTTTCCAGACTCATGTGATATTGCACTGCTACAAGTGTACTTCAAAATTTCGCCTCGCCCCCTTCCGACTATACAAAGGACGCAAATCTGTGGCAGGCACAATTTTAAAGATACGATAAAACTAAAAACGCAGTATCGTAGAAAATTACCATATCTATCAGAATGCCGAATCTGATTAAGATTGGATTCCCCCACCTACTCCAGCACGAGACCACGCTGCTCATTCTCTTTCTCGTACTTTGTGGGAAAGGGCAGGGCGATTTGCGAATACACTTGTAGCAGTGGGATATCACATGAGCCTGGAAACAAAAGTTTGTTTCTCTAGCTTTTATGGTCTCTGATATCTAGGCGCTCAACACGACGGACTGACGGTCGGACAGAAGGACAGACAGACTTGGCTCGACTTGGCTATTGATGCTGATCAAGAATATATATACCTTATGGGGTCGGAAACGTTTCCTTCTCTGCCTTGCACATATCAACCTTTACTACAAATACAATATACCCCTTAACTCTTCGAATACGGGTATAAAAATACCGAGCAACTGCAGAATCCTGTAGAATGACGATATCTACCAGAGGCCGAATCTGGTTCAGACCGGATCATTATTATAGCCAGAATGAAGATAAAATATTCTTAAGTCTGACTGGCTAAGTGCCGGGTATAAAAGTAGAGTCGTGCCAACTGCAGCGCATCAAACGTTCCCTCTCGTTACTTCACCGCTCTCACATGAACAGTCATATATTATTTATTTTATGTACTTTCTGGACTTAAATTTAGGGACCAATTATTTGTTACAAAAGTGAATTTATTTATTTATTAAAGAGCCGTCCATGAACGGGCAGTCGAATCGATTCGCAGGGAGTCGGTATTCGCTTCGTCCGATTCAATTGAATCAGCGGGTTGAATCGAAAAAAGGTAGATCAGATTTGATATCAGCGACCTCAAATTAGCTCAAAAACTTTAACAACGTTTTAGGAAACATGGCGCAGTAATGGTTGTTTAAATAAAAAAGAAAAGAAAAAAATAATTTTATTTTCGTCAAGTTTATTTACTGGGAGGCAGTTGTGCTTTTATTAGCTTTATGAAAAATCGTATTAAAGAAGCTTTCTATGTACATTTAATCTCTAAACAAAATAATTATAATATAACAAAATCTTATAAAAGAAAATTTGTTGATTAGCTAAAAGTAAATTATAATATTTACAACTTTCTTTTTGGACTACCGATTGGAATGAAATAAATTTGATCTCATTTAAAATATGTTCAACTAAATGTTTTTAGACTAAAACGATGATTTTTGTGGCTATTTTTTTTTATTAATTTATAAACAAAAAAATATTTGTTGTTTTCGTAAATTTTTTTTTGCAAAAATGCAACTATTGCCGAGCTTTGGATTTTTTTAAGCTGAAGTTTTTAGTCTTGAAGTTAGTCCACTATATGTAAGGGAAGTGCCTTAATTTTGGATATAACGGTATATCGCGTAAACTCGATCTGATAGGAAAAAACCAAGTACAGGATTGGTTCTTCAGTTCTTAATCAACAAAACCCTTGTTCCCTTGAGTTATGATTAAAATTAAAGGAACAAAAGTTATAAAAAAAATAATTAAAAACTAGAAGATTGTATGTAATATTATATCTTACTGGCTATATTGTTAAGGGATAATTCAGGGGATAGGTTATGATAAACATTATTATAATTAAGTCATCAAATTGTAAAATGGATGGTGCTGAGGGTAATTCGACCTGCAGAAGGTTAAATGAAAGGGACGAAAGGTACGGACAGGTCTAAGGGAACAGAAAAGTCAAGCTGGCCAGGAAGAGTTTGTGAGTCCACAATCCCGTGAAGGAGCTTGTGCGCGAACATTGCCCCATTGCATATTGCAGGTAGGCCATTGGTAGGTCAATTAGTTGTAATCTAGATCAGTATGGTGGCAAGATTCTACCAGAGTACCAATTTGAATTACGCAAGGCAAAGATAAAAGCGTGTTGCTCAGTATACTGCGGACTCCACACACAAGAACAATACTCCAATATCGGCTGCAATAGCGAGATATACACTTATGGACAAAATAATAGAATCCTTTATTACTCGAGAGGTTATTATCCTGCTGGCACTTCCATAAAAGTGGCATATTATCCTCGGCATATGGTAGCATCACCGTCTCCAACATATCCTTTATTCCGTCAGTACGATAAATCGAACCAGCACAATACCATGAGAAGCAGCCCCATACCATTAGGCTACCACCTCCATGTTTCACAGTTTTACATTTGTACCTGGGATCAAATTCTTTGCCTTTCGGACAACGAACATTCCCTTTGGCATCATTTCCAAATAAATGTATCTTGGGTTCATCATTCCATTTTACGCCCTTTTTTCTCACCCTCCAGTCCGCACCAGGTTCTACGATCTAGTGCCATTTTTTTTCTCAGCCTTAAATTTGCCGACCGAAGAAAAGGAACCCTGCGAGCAATCCTACCTAGGTAGGTTTGCTATTGCCAATCGTCGCCGAACGGTTCGTGATGACACAATATTCCCAATTTCGTTGGCATTAGACCTGGAAGACTTGAACTAACCAACTGAACCATGCGATCGTCGGTCTTAGATGGTGATTTTCTGGTGATCCCGAGTTTCACCTATTTTTTCCGGTTTCAAGGCAATGGTTACGAAGTTTTGAGATCATTAACCTGGCAATGGATTTATAAGTTTTTCCTTCATATTGGAGTCGTCGAAAAAGCCATCTCTGCAGTGAAGCCAGTGTTAAGTCCATATTTGGTTATATTTTCCTAATACTTTGCCTTCTGCAACCAAATAATTATCCTAATAAACTTCAATGTTTTGCTTCACACACCTGTTATTGTGTCCATCCAAAGTTGGCGGATTTAAGGAAATATTTAATTTTGTTGTAATTTAAAGGGGCTGTAAAAGTGTTTTTACTTTTTCTTTAAAGGCAATTAATATTAGATTTGAAAAACTTTGTTGAGATTAGAGAAGATATGAATTAGAAATTAGAAGTTAAAAAAGAAAAAAATCACAGGTATTATTTTGTCCATAAGTGTAAAATTGTTTGGTCAATTGTTTGTTGTT